GAATTCAAATGTACTAAGTACAAACTTTGAGATGTCTATACAGTGGTCCCTCGGTTAACGAGCACAATCCGTTCCAGCAGGTTGCTCGTTAACCGAAAACTCGTTAACCGAAACCATTGTTTCAATGGGTTTTGGGTAATTGGTTCCAGCTCACCGAAAATTGCCTACATTCAACAAAAAAGATAGAAAAGTACACTTACTTTGAGGTGTGTATGTAGAAGGCTCCTGGATGATGATGATGATGATGATGATGGGAATTAGAATGGGGGTGGAGGAGAAGGGAGAAGAGAAGGCATTGGGGTGGAAGAGAAGTCACCCCATGGCACCATTTCACCCATAAAATTTTAGTTCTCTTGGTGTAATTCAAGATTATTTTCTTTAAATCAACACTACACTGCATTATATATTGTCAATATGTAAAATAAATTTCAAAATGACCAATAATTTGCTTGGAAACACAGAAAAAAAGCGTTTAGTTGAAGAGTCTCAAGCAAGATGTTACCTCCACTGAAAACAGAGAGAGACTAACGCCTGTCTGGTGTGTTAACAGGCTGGATGGCACACCAGAAACTAGTTTCTTTACCTTCAATTATGTTCAATAATTCTTAAAATGACTAAAAAAGTTAATATTAAACTTTTAAAATTATTGAATAGTATAAACTTCTTGATATTTACTAAAATTGTAAGGAATTTAAGCCCTAAAACCGATTACTGTATTGGCGGACTAATACTACAGCTCGTGGACCGCCAAATGCAAGCGAAAACATGTTGAGGTCGGCTCCTAAAAAACTCGTTAATCAAGGGATTGCTCGTTAACCGAAGTTAAGAATCTTATGGAAGGTAAATCGTTAACCGAGGCGCTCGTTAACCGAGGGACCACTGTACTCAAATTAATCAGTATCTCGCAAGGATTCCAGCAATGCTAGTTATATTCTGATAAGTTTAGTCTGTGACAGTTTATGAGATAAAAACTTTAAGCCTAAAACCACCTTCACCCTCTAAATTCCTTATCACTTTCTGGCTGGGAGGAAAGGGGAAGGGGAGATTACAGCATACTTATCAGCAGAGGAGGGGAGGGGTCAGGGTCTGAGACAAGGACTTAAAGCTTTTCACTTATAAAATATCACTGATTTGACTGAGCAGAATAAAACTTGCAGTGCTGGAATTCTTTAAGATAGCAATTAATTTGAGTATAAACATCCCAGAGTTTGCACAAGAGATAAAAATTTTAGTAATTAACTTAGTACATTTGAGTACAAGTTGTGATAATTGTAATGATTTTCCCACAACTTTTATAGCATTAATGTTGACTTTTAGTAGTTGTGGAACATATCCTAATTTTCGCCATAAGATTAAGTATTCACTCTATGTATCCTGAACCATCGAAGCTGCCGGACTATCGGGTCCCAGATTAGCGGCGTCCAACCTGCAGTACAGAAAGTCCTTGCTTAACATAGTGGGTCCGTTCCGGAATTGTTAACGGAATACATTTTACCCATAAGAAATAGATAAAATGCGGGAGTTACATTTCTGAGCCTCCCTTTGCCCCATGAAATACACTATATATACTGTACAGAAATTCAATGGCATTTATAAAGAAAATAGTATATATATATCTATCTATCTATCTATCTATCCTATCTATTATCTATATATATATATATATATATATATATATATATATATATATATATATATATATATATATATATATATATATATATATATATATATATATATATATATATATATATATATATATATATATATATATATATATATATATAATTGAAAGTGAAAACCACGTAAAGTGAACAACAGAACATATGGGATTAATTCCAATAGAGACTGGCCCGACCCCCAAACTCCACTTTTTTCGACACAATACCTATGTTGTAGTAAAAATAACATCTAAATTTTATGATGGTATGCTCACACAATTAATATTTAAGAGAAATACAGTCGCCAGGTTAATGTCCATTCAAATAATGGACTCAAATCCCCCTCCCCCCCTCTTCCCAGCTCACTGGCCCCTACCTCTTTGAGAAATGATTGGGTGAAACACTAGATTTTAACGTTTAGTAATAAATAATACCTCAGACTAAAGTTAAGATAATATAATTGACATTTCTGGATTCCTTGCAGGTCAGGGAATATTTTGAATGCAAACTTCATATATTTTGCACAAAAGATAAAATACTTGCTTTGTGTAAACCAAATTATTACATTAGATCTAAAATTTGTATGTCTAATGCAAAATCCATGATGTTTATATTCAAAATGATCATCATATTGTAAGAATTCCAGCAATGTAAATTATATTCTGGTCCAGTAATTTGTATGAATTTTATGAGCTAAAACAAATATCTTCAGTTAATAAAAAAAAAAATATTCTTCATGACACTATCTGTCAATCAAAGTACCCCAACTTGCCTCACCCCCTCTTCCAACCGCGCCAGATGGTGGGTCGGTCCCAACCCTCCCCCCCACCTTCCCTCCCTACCAGAGAAATGTTGGGTGAAAAAACTAATTTTAACTTTTAGTAACAAATAATACCTCAGACTAAAGTTAGGATAATATAATTGACATTGCTGGATTCCTTGCAAGACCAGGAATATTTTGAATATACACGTAATATATTTTGCACAAAAGATAACATATTTGCTCTGTGTAAACAAAATTCTTACATTAGATCTAAAATTTGTATGTCTAATGCAAAATCCATGATATTTATATTCAAAATGATCATCATATTGTAAGAATTCCAGCAATGTAAATTATATTCTGGTCGGGTAATTTGTATAAATTTTATAGTAAATAAAAAAAAAAATTATGCTATTTAAATGCAATATGTGAGTAGATGCACCATGATGAAGTCCGGTTCTAATAATTATCGTAAATGAAATGGCGGAAGGTAGAGCAAATGTAAGCGGGTAATGCTGTATATATATATATATATATATAATCACACAGGGAAAAGTGAAACAATGGAGCACCTTAGCTTTTGTCTTTATTCAAGACATCTTCAGAGGTAACTGAATTACATGGACAGAGAGAGGCTTAAGTACACAGGGTGACCTTACTAAACATGAGGTCAGGTCATAAACATGACATCCACTAATCCGCACACCAACACCACCATCCAATCAAAGGAGCTTAAGAGAAAGGGTGACGTGACTAGTCAAGTTAAGTCGGGTCAAAAATATGGGACCCACTAATCATCTATCCTACATCTAACTCCAATGCTTTAAAAGCATTTTTAACCTTGGGCCACTGACAAATAAATTTGTGTAACATATTATCAGTTTTGTACTGACCATAACTAAGGTTTATAGAATTCAATTCCCTTATCAAGCTAGCTTCAACCAGAAGTCTTTCTGTGACACATGATGATTTGTACACTTTTAAGCTGTTTTCCCAATCCATGGGATGATTATTGTTCCTAACATGAACGAACAGTGCACTTCTTTCAGATGCTGTTCTGATATTGTACTTGTTGTTTAATTCGGAGTTGCAATGCTTTCCCATTACAGTTGCTACATGGAATGCAGTAAACACTTCCATTTACATTCAAGGTTGGGCTATTCTTGGTTAATATATTGGTAATAGTAGAGTCATACTTAAAAACAACATTAATATTTAATAACTTAAGGGACTGAACTAATGGGAAAAATTCATTGCGATAAGGCAGTCAAAATATTCTTAAATGTAGGAATTTGCCTGGTTTGAGTAGAATGAAAGGCTTTTTTAGCCCTTTTAAAACAATGATCAACAAACGACAACAAGAATTTTTAAGTCAATGTTCTCCTTGGCACAGTATTCCTTCATTGCAGGGACAGCGTACACGGTTAACCACTGGCTAAATATGGCGCTGGTTATCCATGCCTTCGTATTTGCCTTGTAAATGACAGGAAGGTGTCCCTTGGAGTAACCTTTCAGGGCTTTGGATTGGCAGCGCGAGAAATTAGCATGGGCTTCAGCTTGAAGTCGCCAGCAGCGTTCGCGCCAAGCAGCAGCGTCAAGTGGTCTTTTGCCGCTTTAAAACCTGGCATGGTCTGTTACCGCTTTAAAACCTGGTGCTCTTTTCTCTTCCTTTGAGATATAGGTTCTATCTGGCATCCTCTTCCAAAAGAGACCAGTCTCATCCACATTAAAAACTTGCTTCGCTGAGTTGCCTCCCTCCTCTATAATGCTTATGAATTCAGGCGGGAATATCTCGGCAGCAACCGTATCTGAACTGGCAGCCGTAAAGTTCTCTTCCTTTGATCCTTCACCCTCTTCTGCCTTTAAGTCGTCAAGCAAGGGTTTTACTTTGTGCTGGATAACCAAAAGGCTCACCAGGGCATTGTATTGATTCTGGTCCTCCATCCACACAGCCAGCATCTTTTCCATCTTTTCAATCACGGAACTTCGAGTCCGACTTGTCTTTGTTGCACACAGAGAACTACCACTTCCAGCACTAACCTTGATATTGTCCGTGTTGGTCTGGATAATACGCACCGTTGTGGGGTTAGTCCAAGCGCACCAATGTCCACCACATGTTCCCCTTTTTCAAAACGGGTTAAAACCTCCATTTTCGTAGCAAGGCTAATGGTCTTATGTTGCTTCTTCACAACACTAGCATCAGTAGCACTTGATGGGTGGTTGGAAGCCATTTCGAATGGTTAGAATACAAGATTACGAGCAAAAACATTTAAACACGTAAGAATGTTGTGGAAGCCTAACAAAGACTGGTGTCGCTTGGGTACTCTGTGTGACATTCCGCGAGTGAGAGGTAACGCTCCAAGTTGATAGAGCGTAGCGCGGCAAGATGAGGGAGAGTGATGCTCTATAAAAAGTAGCCCGTGACGGCGCAAGAAAGACGTTATATTGAGTCGTCGGGACATTAATCGAATTATTGGTATCTAAAGAGTACCGACGTTATAACAAATCAACGTTAACGGGAGCAACATTAAACGAGGACTTACTGTACTAAAGCACTCTAATTCTTAATCACAAACCTGCCAGAGTTGAATGCTGACTGTAGAGACACTTCCATAGGTGTCCATTCACTGCTTGTGCAACCAGTTCGGCGAATTAGATCTTGAATGTTTAAGTTAAACTCGGTAACCATCTTGTTAAATTGTCGAGCTCCTTCCATAGTGTTCCTGTACAGTATAATAAGCAATTAGTACTGCAAAAAGAATGGATTTATATATGGTAAAATATTAGAATGAAAGTTGCATGGTTTGAGTAATGTATTATGTCTTAACAAATGGTTGGGTAAACATCCTTTGTACTATACCTGCAAATGGGGCAAATTACCTAAATTTTTTCTAGTTATGTAAAAAAGTCTAACATTATTAGTTACATAAATTATATAAATTAGTAATGTTTTTAGAGGCAAATTTTACCTCAAGTCATGTATCAGCCCAAGTGCTATTATTCCCCAATACAGTACAGGGGATCCCCGACTTACGAACGCCCGCTGATACAAATGGGGTTAAACTTGAGATTTACAGTATTTTATTTACCCGATGACTTATTTTTTTCCTTTGATTGGTGTATTTTGTAATTCTATTTCTTCTTTTGTCTTAAATTTCGTGATTTTAGATGTATATAAGGACTTAGGCTATGATATAGTGGGATTTTAAACATTATTCTGTAAGTACAGTATGCACATAGCATATGTTCTGACTTTTGTACAAATTCGACTTAAGAACGTCTTCAGGAAAGGAACCTGTTTGTAACCCAGGGACCCCCTCCTCTGTAGTATATGGCTGATACTGAAAATCAGAAATATACTGGATAGATGCTAAAATTTATCAACAAACCAGCTTTTGGAAATATAATATGTATAGTACGTCCGGAAAATTGACAAATTTTTATTTTGCGGTCCGCTAATATTTGCGGATGACACTCTGGATGTACCCAAGACTGTCTAAGGGTAGTTTTAAAGTTGCAGACATTTTTGCAGCTTTCACAGGGAGCCATTTGTTCTATAGACAGTAATTTCCTTTAACTGTATTGCATATATGTGTGTGTGTGTGTGTGTGTGTGTAGACGCACACAAAACACATACAAATAAATAATACTTGTAATGGGAAAATCCTCTCTCAAATAATCAGAAAAATTTTATTAAAAATGTTGAGTTTACCCTCAAGTCCACTCCGTGCTTTGTTATTAATAGAGCACGAAGTAAACTTGAGGGTAGACTCAATATTTTTATTTTATTTTTTCTGATTATTTGTGAAAGGATTTACCCGTAATTATTTATTTGTAAGTGTCTACACACACACACACACACACACATATATACAATACTACAGGTAAAATAAATAATTGTTATAAGGGCAAACACATAAAGGGAATATACATTTATTCGTACAAAGTAAAAATGCCCCCCCCCCCCTCCGGTCAGCAAATGTTATTCACGGATTAAGCGATTTGCGGCCATTTTGAAAACCTAACCCCCGTGAATTTAAACAACTAGGAAAACTCAGAAGTACTGTATATCTTACGAGCTATAGTCAAGTGTGTCCTTCCAGGCATGTAAGAGGAAAGCAATGCGAAGGTGAGAGGCTGAGTTATCCTGTAAAGCCTTCTTGATGGTGATAAAGTTCTTGAGACTCTTGCTCATCTTGCAGCCATCAATATGCAAATGACCTGTGTGCAGGAAGTAACGCACCTGTAAGATAATACATTCATGTAATGCTTACCTCCACACACCTCTTTGTTACATCACCCCATACTCTGGCCTACTTTTCTCTGCACCAAATTTTATTCACTGAACTCAAATACACACACCGGATCATTCTTTTCATATCCATTTTTTTAGAGAAATATTTCCCTCAAAAGTCAATTTGCCCTTCCTATACTTCATTATTTTTGTCAGTTGTATATATTCAACATGTGCATCTCAAAAAATCAACCTCATCTGTCCTACAGAATGTTTATCATTTCACAATGTCTGTAACGATCAAATGATACTGAAACAGTTTATCAGCCAGAAAAATACAGATAGAGTATGAAAAAAAGATCAAAAGTGAGAAACATGACCTGGACCTATGAGTTATTATTACCTGTATTATTAATATTATTATAATCACAATTTCGTCCCCCAGGCCCCAATGTGGGTTGGTGACCTGTGCCCGGGTGGGCTGATCCCTATAATAATAATAATAAAATAAGAAAAGAAAAACCCTAACCATTCTGAAATCCAAAACACATCTGGCCCCAAGGATTTCAGATAAGGAATTGTCAACCTGTATTAATAACAATATTGACAATGATGAGCCAATTGAGAGGTTGGGCTCTCTTAGTGGTACCTGATATATCCTGTACAGTACATGTATCTCAAGGAAGTATTATGTAACATTTACTAACATATGGAATACTGTAGTACACTTAACATGGTGTTCGTAAAAACATGAGAATGTTATCACGATTATAACTTCGTTGCATATTTTTCTTTTTTTATTCATTTATAATTATAAGTAAACTGAACTGTATACATAATTTACAGTGGAATTAATATACATTAATCTGATAAATAAGGGAAGCAATACAACATGGGTGTGAAACAAGGGGATGTATACAGTCGGGATCATGCCTTGACGGCAAATATGAGTACTGTACGTGTATATCATTATTGCAACGGTAATTTCTATCTACCTACATAACAATATATGATATAATAGTTTTTGTGGTACAGTACAAGGGGTCCCCCTGACTTACGAACACCCGCTGATATGAATGGGGTTAAACTTGAAATTTACAGTACGTACAGCATTTTATTTACCTGACAACTTATTTTTTACTTTCATTTACTGTATTTTGTCATTCTATTAAGTGATTTTAGATGTATATAAGGAATTAGGCTATGATATAGTGGGATGTTAAACATTGTTCTGCAAGTACGGTATGCACATAGCATATGTTCCAACTTGCGTACAAATGAGACTTACAAACATCCTTAGGACGTTACAAAAATATTAATACTTAGACAATAGATATATTTTATGAGATAATCTACAGGAAAGGAGTGAGGTCTTTACTAGGATGGGTGGGTGGGTGGAGGGGGGGGGGGTTGTTCCACATCTTCACACCATGATATTTTATGGAGGTCTGGGACTGAGAGGAGTGCATGATGGTGATCTTAGAAGGCCGGGGTGTCTTAAGTTGGGGTAGGGTACGATTCAGCGCCGCCATTTCAGCGCCAGCCCATTTCAGCGCCAGACTATTCAGCGCCGAGACCTTTCAGCGCCTGTGCGTTCCGTTCAACATCTCTGTGGGAAACAATTGTTGTCTTCTCCCAGTTCCTCTCCGGTATGGACGACCAACCTAACCTAACCTAACCTAACCTAACCACGTTAATGAAAGACAGATAGCTTCTGAGTTGAACGGAACGCACAGGCGCTGAAAGGTCTCGGCGCTGAATAGTCTGGCGCTGAACTGGGCTGGCGCTGAAACGGCGGCGCTGAAACGGCGGCGCTGAATTGGCGGCGCTGAATTGGGCCATCCCCCTTAAGTAGTGTCTCTGGATATTCCGGAACTGGAAATAATTATTCTCAATCACTTGATTGGCAGATTTATAAACAAATACAGTAAACCACGATAACTCAACATGTAAGGGACTCTGGCCTTGCCAAATTATCTCAAATTCTGACTTATGAGCCCTCCCCCTCTTACAAAAATACAACAATCGAATATTATTGGCCCATATAGGTAGAGGAATGCCTCCGATAATGGCGGTTCAATTAACGACGATTCGTATTTAAGACCTGGTTAATTTGGGATGCAATTCAATTTACACCATTATTTTCTTTGTATTTCCAACAAAAAAAGAATAAAAAATAAAATAAAATAAAATTTTCATATCAATAATAACCAAATCCCGATATGTATTATACAAATATATAAAAAAACACGCCTTGCGCACGGAGGCTGCCGGGCCTGTGAGTGGTGACGCCAACATCACTCGTGTAAACAGTCGCAGCTTGGTGGGTCTTTTGTTCTCACGCATCTGAACAGGAAAAGGAGAAAAACATTCTCAGATTTCTTATGGAACTCTTGCATCCCAATTCAACATGAGAGCAAGTGATGGTAGTGCTGGTTCAAAAGCTAAAAGAAAGGGTATAAACTTACCCGAGAAACTAGATGTGTTAAAACGATATGAAAAGGGTTTTACATTAGTAAGTATTATTTAAAACATATATGAACAGTAATAAGTCTCACTTTTTTCTTTACCATTAGTGGTTAGCTGCTTCTATTGATCCATTTATTAACATTAAATAAAATTATTTAAAACATACATATTAATTTTTTTACATTCATTTTACTATAGCAACAACCAGTCTTGTTTTCTTCAGTTTCAGTTGGATAACTGACATTATGGGTGGAAACACTGACAACAACAATAGCGTCCCATCTCATCTTGTGTGACCATATTATTATTATTTTTTATTGATATTGTACAAGGTGCATTCATAAACATTATTTAAAGAATATAGTTTACATCTTTCATTAATTTTGTTGTTTTGGGGGAAAGAGAGGGTAAAAACCCACACAAAAGATATGAAAAGGTCACACTTGGGAACGCATCTCATTATTATTGATTTATTTGAATGGTAATTAATGATTCACGATACGATGAATCACCTTAAACTGCAATATTTAGTGTTGCTGCCACGGACTGCCTTTCCCCGCATGCCTCAGTCTGTTCTGCTCCACTTACCTCAGAGTTAGCAAACAAAGGCTTCCATGTCTGTAGCACTGTTGCAACAATAATCTTACGCCATGCCTCAACAATTCTGTCAACTGCATTTTTAATATTATATTTCTTCCAAAATTCACAAACTGATAATACTTCACGGTTGCGGGGTGGTGAGGTGCTAGGAGTCAGGTCGACTACCATCTCCTCCTCCTCCTCCTCCTCCTCCTGGTTAGCTGGTAGAGCCTGGTCACTATCAGAGAGTTCTGCCTTGATTTGTTGTAACTCAACTAATGAGTTCTGTCTGCTGACAAAAGTCTTTATAGAGTGACTGATATTAGAACAGTTTAACATTACTGATGATATTGTGGTCTGGTCAAGTGGCTACAGAACCGATGTGGTGTTGGGGAAGATAACTTGTACATTAGGGTGGCGTCCAATTAGAAACTTATAGTGACCAGGAGCATTATCCATCACCAGGATCACTTTGAAGCCTATGGTCTTCCTCCGGCAGTACTGTTGGACCTCAGGAACAAAGTGCTTGTCAAAACAATTGATACATAAAGATGTTGTAACCCAAGTTTTCTTATTAGACGTCCAATAAACGTTGAGCTGCAACATATTGGCATGACGGTAGGGTCTAGGAGGGCAGCACGGTTAACAACCAAGGGTTTCATCAAGAAATCTCCACTTGTATTAGCTGTGAATAAAACTGTAATCCTGTCTTTTGAAGTCTTTACTTCCCTTGCCTGTTTCTCATCCTTGGCAATGAAAGTGGTCTTAGGTGAGCGCTTCCAGAAAATGCCAGTTTGGTCACAATTGAAGATCTGGTCTCCGCAATAACCACCCTCTATCACAAGAGCTTGAAAGACAGGTAGATATTTTTCTGCTGCTATGACATGGGTTGATGCACTCTCCCCATGGTAGTGGGCAAACTTGACTTCAAAATACTTCTTAAAGGCAGCCAACCAACCAACAAAAGCATTGAACGGTGGTGGAGTTAATGCGTTTCTTCTGTGCAACTGCAGCATAACAAACACGTGCTTGATGCCTTATCTGTGGCCAAGAAAGGTCGCCTTGCTCATGGTTTATTCTTTCCACCCTCTTGTGAAGGTAATGTTCTCTGATAAAAAGCAGTAGGTTTCATTGTGAAGTATCAGAGAATGCCCTGTTACAAGAAAATCTTGAGAATACATTCACAGAAGCAGTTAAGGCTTCCTTGTAATAATAATAATAATAATACAATAATAATAAACGGTTTATTAATAGAGTTGCAGCCAGTGGCTGAAAATATACAGACTTACATTTGATTTAGACATAATGATATAATATGCATTGAATACATTTACAGGGCTGTACAGTACATAAATCAGGAGTTGTTTATTATTTTAACAATAGATGGGATGGTGCTATTCTTATATCTATCGGTGCGGGCTCTTATGGGCTGAATTTTGTTGTAGTGGCGGATTGCGTGAGGTGGGCGGGGGGCTGCCGGTGGCAGGAGGGAACGTTTGGTTGATTTGGGGCAGTTGAACATACGCATGATTTCATAGGTACGAGCACCACTTTTGATCATCTCAAGCATCTCTCGTTTCATTTCAAGGGTGTATTTCCTCTTCTTGACCCCCATATGATAGTCATGTTTGGCTTGGGGCCTTCCTTGTTAACCTTCTCAACGGCTGTCATTACCACCAAAACTGCTCCCAACATTTACATTATGCACTTCACTCATCGTTAATACACAAGAATCGTTAATACACAAGAATCATTAATACGCAAGAATCGTGAATGCAAAAGAATCGTTAATACACATGAATCGTTAATAGTTACTCAAGAATCTCGCAAAACGTAAGCACAATGGGTTATATAGTCCAAGATCACTGCACCGCTTGCTCATTCAAACTAACTGCAGTAAACAAAAAACACGGTGGATAACAGAGGACTGCAACAATGCGCTCTGCCCCCTCTCCATTGAC